ACCTAATTCCGTCATTTTCCACCAATGTGTTACTGGCCCTCCCAAATAACTCACATCTTTGTCAGTGAAGCTGAGTGCTCCCACATCTCTTCCTTCATGGTGCCCATCTACATTAAGATCCACAATTCTGAGATTAAAGTCAGAATTCTGACTTTTTTCCCATATTAAACTGAAATAAAATTTAAAAATCAGTACATTTTTTTTTCCAGTGGCCCTAATCCTCTTCCGTATATATAAATTAAATCTATAAAAGGGCAAATTCTTTTTCACACCAATGTGTTTTATGTGTTTAGGAACTAGAACTGGGCTTCAGAGAATTCAACTGGAGTTTCATTTAAAAAAAGAAAAAAAAAAATGCTCTCAAACTAAGTACAAAATTCCTCATCTCAAACCACCTCATTAATGTTTCTCTAAACTCAAAGCATGAATCATTTGTTACCTTATAATTTGCTGGCTATAGCATGTGCGAAAAACATTAAATATGCTTCATACATCCTGCAGTGCTACACTGAAACTTTAAAAATCCAGCCTTGCTTGTTTAATATGGCCCTAAGCAATCATGGAAGGAAGGCAAAGCCCACTTAAAGAAAGAAGATGAAGGCGTTCTCTCAGCTTTGTCAGGGCCAACCTGACCCTCAGAAATTGTTTCGTAAAAAGTGTCAAACCACTTATGCACAGCTGGTGTGCAAATGGCTTCAATTCAGTCCAGAAAAATGAAAGCCCTGAAAAATCGACATGTAGTGTTTATAAAGTCATGATCAAACCTATTTAATGTTTAAAGAATTAGAGACACTGGCCTCTACAGTAACTTAAACTGTTTAATTTCTTTAAAAGCTTCATTTAAAAAGACCTAATCTGTTCTGCAAAGTTCTTCTTTAAGAATACATTTATAAAATTATTCTTAAAAGTTCTTGTCAGCTGCTCACAGAATCATTGCCTTTATTGTTTGTTCTGCTGCACCTTGCGGATGTTACTTATCTTTCTCATTATGGATCTCTCCTCTCCATCTTGATCACTTATCTTTCATATGTCTGTATCTTTCCAAAGCCCATCTGCTCATAAGTGGAAATCATTTGTCACCTTGCTAAGGATATTGGCTGCCGAGCTAAACTGTGTCTAGATCCATTTGTCTTTTATTGATAGACGAAAAACAACATCATTCATTCATGTTTACTTTTTCATTTAATTCATATACTTTATTTCAACCATTTCTATTTGGATATAGATTTAGCTCAGAGAAATCTTGTACTTGTACACATGGACAAACTCCAGTTAATTTGTTGAAAATATACCTCAGAGTCTCTTTGTCTCTGTTTTTGCTTTCTTTGGTGTAGCTTCCAGTCATAATTAGGAGTAAACCTACAGAGATCCCTTCCACCCGCCCAATTCAAATCACTCAGACAACATTTTGTACTGACTGGTTTTCAAATGAGCTTTGCTTGTATGTAGTGTCCTCTGGTTCTAAGCTGCATCCTTTAGCCAATCTGGACTGTTTCCCAGATGAACCAATGGAGAAGTGGAAGCAGGAGGCATAGGAGAAAGCCAGCAGGAGTAGGAAGCAAACAACACTGAAAATGACAATAATGACGATGGTGTGTAGCTCCATGTGGTGCCTCTCTTCAGGAGCCAGCGTCGTAGAGGCCTGGACGCTCAGAGCTGTTGGCGTAGCGATGAAACTGTTTGGAAACAATGGCTTGACAGAGGCAAAGTGCGGCACTACTGACATGATGAGGAGTTGTAGTTCCTTACGTGGGCTAGCTGGGCTCACTGTAGATGATACCTTAAGAAGAGACACACATCCAATCATCCAGTTTACCACATTTCAAACAGGTTCATCATGGTGGAGTGTGGGCTGTTTTAACTATCAGCTTCTCTAAATGACTTTAAAGTCCAGAAGCCAATGAGTCTCACTGCTTATCTAAAATCCGATCAACCTCATTGATTATCAGTAAAGTAAATTTAAAGATCAATCACTAACTTTTCATGGACATAAAAACCCGTACCACAAAGGAGTCAGAGGACATTGTTTATTGAATGACTAAACATGGAACTATCAGTTCAACATAGAGCAGGAATTATTGTAATCAGGGAGGAATACAATGTTTAGAGTCCAGCACCTCTGGCGATGCTTTTTCCCCCCACAACTACACAATTCTAAGAAAAAAAATAAAATAATTTTAAGATTCAGGCAGAGTCAAAAGATTCCAGATAAGCAGCCCTAAATTGCATCCGCTATCTTTTTTTCCACGTCTGATTATTGTTCATGGGATCTACTAAGATTTCCCCCGCAATTGTAAAGAGGTGCAAGTCGCCATCTCTGTCAGATGAAGATGCAGATGCACGCTCTGATCCACGCTCTGATGCATGCTCCGTAAAGAGGGAGGGAGGAAAACAGGATCTTGGGACTTTGTCCGTTCTTGATCCTGTGTTCTTATGAATTGGAACAGTGCAAGACAAGAACATGAGAAGGCACAGGGAGGCATATTGTTTTTAACTCTGAGCCATTGATTTTACTAGTGTTTCAAATTTTTAAACATGAGTTAAAGAAATATGGATGCAAAAATGTTTGAGACAAGACAATTAAAGGATTGTAAACACTGCAATGACTTAAAAGGCAATGGCGATCCTTAAAGTTCTGGATTGCTTCTTTTCTAACCTCTGGTTGGAGCTAGGTGTGCTACATTGCTAATGTTACAGCTTTTAGCTAAATGAAAAAAGGCAGAGTTTAATGCTCTGGTGTTTCATCCCAATCTATTATGCAGTGTAATGCAGTTTTGGCTTTGTTGTTCGACCCTTGGATCTGTTGCTGAAGCCTGAGGAGCCTCCAGCTATTAGCACTAAATATTTAAAGGTATATAGGAGGATTTTTGCAGAAATGGAGAAGACCCTCTTTACTAAAAAAAAATGCACATGCACAACCCTGTACCTACTCCCAAGAGGGAACACCTATTAAAGGTGCATGAGAGCATGCACAAGTCCATTTCTCCTCGTGCTTGCTTTGTTAAAAAGTTTGCATCGTTCATACAAGCTTACTTTCCAAAAGAAGATTTGCAATTTTTCCACTATGTCAGACTCACCATTGGTAAGTGAAAATGGGGACGAGCACATAGGACTGCCTTATGTAAACATATCATAAAGATGATTGACAATTAGGAGGACCACTTATTTTGATGATCCACCTGGAAAAAGAACATCCTCCACTATATCTGTAACATTGAATTTAAAAGTAAGGAAAGCCTTTAGAGTGATAAATTATAAAATATATTTTTAACCCCCTTTGGCACTTGGATTAGCTTTACTATGTTAAGGTTGTTATTACCTGACAGCACTGTTTTAAGAAACGCGCTTCCTAGCTGCTTTAAAAAAAAATCAATGCTCTGATTCTTTCTTTTGCTCTTACCTGCAGCGTCAAAAAGCTGTGCTGTTGTTCGATATCTTCCTTGCCGGATTCAAGGTTTTCTTTTGGTGAGCACAGATTGGGGAATTATCAGAAATGAACGAACAAAAAGAGAGGGAGGGCTGGTGAGCAATGGAGAAGAGTGGTGGCTGGAGGACCACAAATAACAGGGAGGGCTGCCATGGCAACACAGGATAAGGGACTGCCAGTATGACAGTGACATCATAACACCTCAGTATGCTGTCATTTATGATGTACAATAAGTGTAGATGTTTTAAACAAACGAAAGAGAGGTTTAGGTAAAGCATAAACAGAGGTGAAGATAAGAAAATGTGGCCTAAAGTGAAGCTTCTAATTAATTGACGTCAGGAGATAAAAGTGTTTCCCTGAGCAGAAGCTCCATGATAACAGCAAAGAGATTCCTTGGTGTTTTGGAGAATAATTATTCAGAGCCTTTGGTGAAGCCACCTGTCATCTTAAAAAAGCCTCATTGCATGCCACAAAATGCTGTCTTACCTCCTCTCCTTTCTTCCTATCCCTGCTCTGTCTGCCTCCTTCAAACTACAATAATGATCTATTTTTCACAACAAGAAATTGGTGTGGAACCCCCTGGTGAGGTACAAGGGGGAGCTCAAAAGCAACCGAGTACTGAAAATGTTCCACCTTACTTCGGAGTATAGAAGAAAAAGAACAAATTCAAGAACATTTATTGACTAACCTAAAAATAGAAAAAACGTATAAACAACAGAAAAAAGGAACAAGTAGTCATTAGCATACTTTAATGAGTAAAAGGACACAGAATGGACTCGGCCAGCTGTTGATTTCAGAGTGCTTTCAGGTGGTTAATTATGTCTTTACACAATGGAAACAAAGGATCCATTACATCCAAATGCAATTAGAAAGAGCGGAAAGGGGAATTCAGGGAAAGTTTTTTTTTTGCATTCACCAAGGTCAGTCAAACAAACAATACATAAGGAATAATGACAGGATTATGTGAGCCCTGAAGTCTAGAGGATCTCTGACAAATGTCCCCTAAGAATAGGTAGCTGACAGAGACCTGAAAATCAATGGTCTGAACACATCTTACAAAGTGCATAAAAACAGGCTTTGTCCCTCCGAGCTGCTTCCACCTTGTAGGTGATTTGCATTTCCGCCGGAGGAACAAACAGCGTTCACAGCTGGATGGAAGAGGTATCATGTGACAAAAAAAAAAAAAAAAAAACTGTCGATGAAAACCAGAAATAATGCAGTGAGAAGGGCAGTCAGCAATGTAATAAGTCCCAAGATTAACATATAAAACGTTTCAAGAAAAAAATAAAAACAACTTTCTGCTGAAATTACTCAGTCTCGCTCTGTTGGTGTAATTTCCTGCACTGTTTGCTCTGCTATGCCATTAAGATTTGATATCTTGTTTGCTATGCCATGTAAGTATGTAATTCTAAACTGTTTTTTCTTTCAGTCTTGCTGCTCAGCTTGTCTTCCTCTTGAATTAAAGTAAGCACTTGTCAGATTAGCTCATGATTGTTTCATTCTAAAGCATTTTGACATTAATTCAGTTTCTGTCCATCTAATCCATATAATTCAGCTTTTTCTTTTTTTGTCCTTGAAATCCGTCTCTCCTGCCTAAATATGGTGGTAAGTCTAAGATATGGACATTTTGATTGTAGAAGTATAAATATGATTCAAAAACATATGCTACACAAAACACAAATGACTAATTTTATTGTCGAAATGCATACATTACACATACACACGGACACGCCCACACAAACTACTAATGTATGGCAACACACTAACATTTCATTTCAAAATGATAATACCTAAAAGGCTAATACATTTTAGAGCTAGAGGTACTTCTTTATATCGACTACTTTGGAAAAATATTCATAAAAATAACAATTCATAAAAACAAAGTTGTTCCAATCTATGGGGTGAGCTTAGTGCATCATTAATAAACGAAGTCAATCCCATTGTGTGATGCTGATGCTCTGATTGACTCTGGTCAGTGTTGTTTGGGACTGTGCTTTATTTCTTCCTGTTCACAATGTTGTTGCAAATCCAGTTCATTCCATCCTGTTGGGAAAATTAAATATGAATTACATATACTAATCACTTGTGTGCATAAATGCAAATATACTCTAAATAGAGCTGCTGTCCTGATTTTTCAGTACATGCTCATGCTTAACTCTAAAAAAAAAAAATCATATTTGTTCAATCTTTTCCCATTCTGTAACATTAAAGCCCCTACATCTAATTTCATCTATCTGGATATATTGCTACAAACAAAGTAGTTCATAAGATGTTCTGTTTCAGAAAAGCGTACCGGTATCTAAAAAATTGTCTGATTGGAGTGCAGTGCAGTGCACAACCATCTTCTTGGGAATATTTATTCTAGTTTCCCACATCTGATCATTTTTTTTCTACCATTATTCTTTGAAAACATCAGCTATCATGTCTTACCCCAGATATTCAATCTTATTGAGGTCTAAACTTTGACGAGGCCGTTCTAACACATCAGTGTGCTTTGATCTCTATAGCTCAGGCTATATGTTTATGCTATTGTCCTGCTACAACGTAAATCTCCACTTCATTCCAAAGTCTCAGATTCTTTCAGGGATTGCGCTGCTTTTAATTTTATCAAATTTCTCCAAAACCTTAAGGCCATCCTTCATGTGAATATCCCAACAGCATGAGGCTGCTGCCACCATGTTTCCATGTAGAACAAAACAATCTATTTTGGTTTCAACTAAGCAGATCACTCTACTCATCTTCATTTGGATTAAAGCTAATTTCCTTCTACTATACAAATTTGCAGTCAGCAGTCTAGTTGTAAAAAAAAAAAAAAAGAAGAGGGATGGTGGAATATTATTTTTTTTGGAAGCATATATAACCTAATTAATATAGTCTATTAAATAGTGTTGCAGTGATACCGATACCAGTATCGGTCGGGGCCCCGATACTGCACTAAAATGGTGGTATTGGTATCGGCAAGTACCAACAAATAGGGCACTGATGCCATTTTGAGAGCCAAAAGTTTATTCAACTATTGTCACCCATTCCAGGAAAAACGTTCTTCTGGATTCCCTTTGTATTAGTGTTTTTTCTGCTTCACAAAGGTAGGCAGCAGCTTGACAAATCCATGATGGCAATTATTTTACATCCAACTACTATGCAGTTCTTCATATATATACACACACACACATCAATTTCAAACAGATGGTACCGGTATGGTATCGGTATCGGCAGATACTGCACAACCAGGTATCGGGTCCAAAAAATGGCATCGATGCAACACCACTATTTCCCTAAAGCAATATGCATGGTATGGTTGTTACATGTCAGGTACTGCAGGCATTGACCTTGACCGAAACAGTCCTTCCCTGGACTGGCATGGCTACCACTGCCCCTACATATTTAGGGACAAATGCAGAGGACAAATTTCCCTCTGGGATCAGCTTCATAGTCATGGTAGGCCACTTCTTTGATTTTATTTATTTGGCTCAGGCTAATCATAAGCCCACAGCCCACCATTTATTTATTGCCATTACTGTTAATATATAGCAGAAATGTTACAAGTGTTGTAATAAAGTGTCACAGGGGATGGTATGGGATGGTGATTTAAGAAGGGGGATGCCATCCCGAGTACTGTATGCACTACTTTGTGTTGTGTGTCTTCTGTCCAATAAAATCCTATCAAAATGTACAGAAGTTTTTGGTTGTAATGTGACAAAAAGAATTAAGAATGTAGTTGTTGCTCATTACCTGAACTCCCTCCCCAGACACAGCTGAGCAGGCCTGAATTTGCCATTCTCTGTCCCGGTACGTATGCAGGTTGAGCCCCTCAGCAATCTCACTGGCTGGTGATGCTGTTGCCAGATCCTGCTTGTTAGCAAAGATGAGCACCGGAACGCCCTTTAAATTCTCCTCATCGATCAGCTCGGACAGCTCCTGCACAAACAACCTTTGAGAGCCATGCAGACTGACGGAATAAAATGTTTGATGAAGAATGCTGATGTATGTCTCCAAATTAAATTTGAAGTTGCTTGGTTAGTAGAGGAGTTCGACTGTGCTCCAAACTTGTAAATGAATAGGATACACTTGTTCAGTTTAATCTAATATTGAGTAATTGCTGAATATTGCTAGGGGCAAAAATTTAAACCAACATCCCAATTGATGCTTCCCACTCATTACAGGTATTACTATTAGACTAGCAGTCCCTTCCACATTAAGGACCTGTTTTATCTTCTTTATCATCCGGATCATCAACATGTTTGGTTTTATTGTTTGCATTTGATTTTAACGTCAACATTTTTATTTCTCAGATTAAGGATCGTGGGAAACTTCATAACAATGTGAAAGTTTTAGGACATACTGCAAAATAAATGTATGATAAAGAAATTATTTGATGGAGCAGTTGTTGGGCTTTTAGCTTCAGTCATAATAATATAGGATCACTGTTTTTCTTTACTAAATCGGAGGTTTCCTGGGCTGCATATCCCACCTAATGAAAATTGGTTGAAAAGACGTCATGACATGTGTCTAGATAACGTCTGCATTTGGTTGTAAAGGAAAAGGTGAAAAGCCATAATTTTCAGGTTTTTAAAAGTCATATAAAACCCAAAACTATTTCTGAACTAAATCATGACTGTGAAGGAACAACCAAATTTATCCTAAGAAATGTCTAAATGACATCTAATGTTTGGTTTATGTAATGTATCAACAGAACTATTGTCCTTTTTATTGTCTTCTTTATTATGCCTAAATGAAAAAATCACTGGGTCAGAAATTGAGTAATGACACAGGGCCTCTGTTTTTATACTTGTTCTATTGTTACTCTGGGGTCATGTTTTAAAGCAAGTGTAGCCTATAATAATAAACATAATTTTCATTTACTTCCAAATGTATTTTTCTCACAGTGAATAAATGAACTAATATGATCATTTTAGGGTTTCCTAGAATCTAAAGTGTAAGAAAGAAATTTTTGTTTCTTTTCTGATAAATGTAGAGGACATCATTTTTGTTTTTGTGATCTTGTCTGAATGCTGAGGGTTACAGAATGTATTTCCAAGCTCACCAGTCCTGTCTCCTCAAACCTCTTCTTGTCTGCGCTGTCAATAACATAAATCTGCAAAAATAAGATATACAGTTTCTTAAGCACTTAAAAATAAAACCATTAGCTTTATGCAAACATCAAATGAAACATTTTGCAATATTTAAGAGGCCAGATTGTGTTATTCGCATCCACTGGTAGATTTTCCTTGTTTTCTCAAGACGCCTTCTTAATTCATCATATCAAGAGAATTTTGATAAAGCCATTTTTTCTGATGTAGATGACCATCCTTATAGATACTCATTTGGATTAAAATAATGTAAAAATGCATTGAATTCGATCAACATGACTCACCAAGAGGTCCGTGTTTTCCAGGTACTTTTTCCAAAAGGGTCTGATCTTCCTCTGTCCTCCAATGTCCCAAACATTGAGTTTCATACCATGAGACGCCACGCTCTTTATGTTAAAGCCCTGAAAGAAACCAGAGAGAGCAAAATGTCACTGACAGCCAGAGGCAACTAGGAGGAGGCCTCCTAAAACATGTAACTAATAACTCTAATCTTTGCAGAGTCTTTCTCCATCACAAATATGTTATGCATCAGTGAGAGATTGGTCATTAAGGGAAACAGAGCCAGAGTGTTGATCCGCAGACGTTTTTCACAACATCTTGCGCCCGTTTCACTTGGCAAAGTTGTGTAAGGACATTATCCCAAGGGGCGGCTGAGGAGCAAATCTGAGGATAAGACCAGAAGGATCAAGCCAAGAGTATGGGCTGATGTGTCAAGTCTGATTTACTTTTGCAGCCACTGTCGCCACGTCTTTACTGGTCGACATCCACCCTGCCTGGAGAGCACTGACACTTGTCTGGAACCTGGCAGTACATCAACAATTTTCTTGGAAGAGTCAGATAAGGACGTCAGATAATGACATTAGAGATTAGATGATTGCATCAGAGAAAGATGATAGGGAAAGGAAACCTCAGCTTTATGTGAATATATCCTACAGGAAAATGTGTTGGAGAGATAAAAAGCCAGGACGTGGTTATATAAGGCTGAGAAGATGACTTAACCTCTAAAAAATAAAACAAAGTGTTATTTCTATTCAAGAAAGCTAACATCACAAAGACCATTAACTCAAAAGCACAGAACACACTTTAAAAATGGGAAGCCATGATTGGTCAGCATGTAGACTGCATGTTAATCTGCCTTAATGACTTCCTCATACCTGTGTCGGTGTGATGGTGTTCACGTCCTCGGAGGCGAGGGTTTTCAGCAGTGTGGTCTTGCCTGCGTTGTCCAAACCCAGCAGCACTATCCTGACCTCTTGCTCCGTGGAACCTTTCAGCTTCTCTATGACAGAGAGTAAGCCCTGTAGGGCAGAGGGCGTCAGGGGCAGGAGGTCAGATAAAAAGGCAAGGCGAGGAATGAACCACATTCTCACCAGTTACATAGCAGAGCATCTTTCAGTATGTGAGGGAGTTAAGCACTTGACCAACTGGTTGATCTCAGTGAAGCGGCTGAATCAAAGTAACCAACGTGGTTTCCACCTGAAACCCAATAAAATCCTGACTGCTCTCTCTCTGATCTTAGATCAAAGATCTTCTTATAACTCATGTTTCTAAGTTTCAGTGCGCCTACCCCCCTTCGGAAAAAAAAAAATCATCTGAAGCTTCATTTAGAAAACCCCTGGCATCAGATGCTCCATTCATTTAATAGAACCCTGTTTAATGTGATTAGTCGGAAAGGTTGCAAAACAGTTTACATGGCACACCAGGACTGCCACACTGCTGACAACATGCAGCAAATCTTTAAACGCAAATGACAGTGCTTGTGATTAACCCTACATCAAAGAGACCAATGTAACGGTATAATTAGAGTTGAACTGACGCAACCTGAGGAATCAGGATAATCCATCCTGGCTGAGAACGACAGAAAAACAATATTGAAATCCTGAATAGTTCATCTTGTGAGATTCATAACCACGGCAGGGAAACAAATTCATGTCGGCTCATGTTCGACTTTCTAAGTCATGCTGTAGAAGATCAGATCACCTACCTTCTGAGCCTCTCCCATTTTGATGTGTGTCCTGTGGCCTTGGCTAACAGGCTGCAGCTACATTCTCCAGTGACACCCACACAGGTGTGTAAGCAATCCAGATCAGGCAGAGTATCTATCCGGACGACTAACCTGCAAACACTGCTTTTTTTACCCTCTCTCCTTCTCATAAAACTTTTCTAGGTTAAGTGCTATGAGTGTAAGTGATAATGTCTACCTGGGCGTCAACAGCTCCTTAGTGCCACTGCGAGCAGGAAGGGAGGGAGTATGGATGGTGACTAGGATTAGGAGGCCAGAATTAGCCCTAGCCATCCATGCAAAGGCCGCTCCATCCTCCTCCCTTCCCCCCACTCCTCGGTCCATCCCTCCATCTCCACTTTACAGTGGCTTTACCTGGATTATCCGTTCGCCACCTGCTGTAAGAGGAAGCTAAACAAACAGCCCCTTCCAGTCACATACACAGAAAATCATACATATGGTTGCTTCTAATGCAAGAGACCCTGATCACTTTTGACTAAGTGAGGACAAGTTTAACATCTATATATTTAGGGTCAAACCGAAGTGTTTAATGAGAGCATTTCTGCTTTCGTCCGTCTCTTTCCTCATATGGTTTCTTTTTAGGGGAGTGGACGGATTTATTGTTCAATATAGTATATCCATTGCAGCCTAGCCACCATTAAGCTGCCCTGTGTAGAGAGTGCTTCTGTGAATAGAGCATCCAGCAGGATTAGTGACAATTAATCTCTATCCTGTATTTGGATTAAAATATTTCTAGGCCCTTTTCCGCAACCAAAGTAGTGTTATGTCACAAGAACTGTCCATACAGCAGGAAAACTAAGTATCTGACACATTTTTCATCACATGTGTACTTCAAATCGGCCAAAAATATTGCAAAAAAAACCCCAGAATAATCCATACAAAAGTTTAAAAAAATAAAGGCATACACAAATTAAATTATTTCAAACTGTTTAATGATGCCAGAATTTAATGAAATATAGAGTTAAACATCAATATGGCTAATAAGTCCACTGGTGAGGTGGGATTTCGGTCCATTCCTTTACACAAAGGAGTCTTTTCCTCAATTCTGATCTTGTATTATATCTCTACATTTTCAATCAGATTAGTTTTTTTTTTAATCAACATACAATTTCCTTTGCAATATTTGAAATTAATGTGGAAATTAAATGTTTTTCAGTACGGTGTAGACGGCTGCACACTCCCATCAAAAATGTACCAGTACTGGCGTTCTTCAATTAGACAGTCTGCCAGAACCATATAACTCTGGAACTAACCCCACACCATCATGCCCTCATCTCCAAGTGCCCTAATACATTAGAATTGAATTGAATTTATTTTCAGACAGAAAAAACAAAAAATCAGCAAACAGTAATTACAAAGAATCTCAATCACACCTTCATATTTATTGATTTAAGCATACAAACCATACCACATGTCTGTATAACAAATAGAAACTAATAATATAACCAAACTAATTGTATACACCTAAATCTTATTAATTCATATCTCCCTCTTGTTACTCAAGACGTAAATAATAAACTACAAAATTGTTTGTCTTTATCAAAATTACATAATTCCTCAAATTGTAGCTGTATTTTACTGGCTTGTCCAAAACTTCTGCCAAAACTTTAAATTAGCTTCAAGCTTTTTTTTCCACCAGTGAAGAGTGAGTTTAAATTGTGGGAAATTTGTTTTTCAGTGCATTTCTTTGAAAAAAGCCACCTTTCAAAATCTTGGTTGTAGCAGGTTTATGGTATATTTCTTTCCCCCGAAGTTCGGAGGTTCAGCCCTGTTAATAAAGTCATCAGTACATTTTACAACAGCGAAGCTCTTGCCAGGCCTATATTGCTGTAAATGACTTCTTATTTTATTCGACCATGATGAAAATAAACCTTTCTATTGACCATCAATGTGAACCAAATCAGATCATATGCATTTGCACTGAGTAGATTTGTACTAAAACATACATTTTAAGCTGTATACTTGGGTTTTCATGCCTATTTACACCTGTACTCTGTTTATTCAATGCTTTGTCCCTAATTTCCCTAAATATCTTTTATTTGTATGTGTCCTACTTCATCTGGTGAGAACTTTGAAATTAACCTATTTAAAAATAAGTAATTTTGCATAGAAAACTGGATATTCTCTCAATATGCTTGTCCTTGTCATCTTCCATCAGTGACCCCGACAGAGAATGTAGATTTTTTTCTCTTTAAAAGGAAAACACAATAAAAGTGCATAATGAAATAAAGTGTAGTATTCTTCACAGTTGAATGCAATTCGCTCTTTCCTTTAGTATCCTCTTGGAAATGGTATTTGACCAGGGTTCTATGCATTCCGTTCCAGCTCCCTCTGCCTTCTCCTCTCCTGGTGTTGAGCTGCCAAAACGCATGAGGTCACACTGATTAATGAGCACCCAGTACAAAATATGTAGCTCCAAGATTTGTGGTGATCATTATAAAACCCATCTCTTGTAAATAAACAAACAAACAAACAAAAAAAAAACACTGACAAAGGGAACAAAACAAGAGGAATTAATCAAGCATGACCCATGGAGGTCTCAGACTGTTACATCATATCTAGTTAGTTCATGTTAAATGTTCCACTTTAATGCTTAGAAAATGTGCAAATCTAACTTAAGCTCTGGGCAAGGAGACAGATGAATGTTAACTCCAAGATGTGATAAATAGTTTCACGCTTTTCATGGTAAAAAGTTTGTTTACCAACTGATAAGGAAGAAAAAGACAGATGGAATGGATGAAAAGTGCATTAAAAAGAAACGTTTATAGGGTGAGCTTAAAGAAGTCAGAGGTATGCTTGAAAATAGCAGCGATAAGAACGTAAAAATAAAACACAATGCAACAGTAAAATGTAAAATAAATCATCTTAATGTAACACATCCTTGGTTTAATCCAAGTAATTAAAAGAAACAATTTGGTTTATTTATGGGAATTCTTTGAATAACTGTGCTTCCGATCGGTTGTCAATGTTGCAGGAAAGTCTATGAATTGCAGCCCTGGAGTCAAAATGTCAGTATGTGAACAGCGGTATGGCAGTATTTACATGTATGCATTTTTCCCAAAAGAACCCTTTGAGCAACAACGTTGCAGATGCACAGACTGTCTTTAGATGCTTTACCTGACATAACAATACTCTTTTAAAGGACAAACTGTTATTTGATTTGACTGTTTTGCTTTCTGAGCCTCGTAGGTGAAGGTTGGTATTAGAGTATCAGAGTTTCATAAGTTTCAGTAAAAATAACAGTTTACAAATAAAAAAATATTAATATTACAAGGACATTAAGAAATTCTGATAAAATATTGTACCTCACTGATCATCAAAGTTTTGCTTTTATAACTGATAACCTTTATTCAGTGTAGACTTAAACCTCTACTTGGCCACTGTTACCATAACTGACCCTGCTGTCAGGAATCCCGTTTGTGTGGTCTGTTTTTGTGTTTCCTTTCCTCCTCCACCAGGTGGTGCCCCATCATCATTGGGTCTCCCTGCACACCTGCAGCTCATTGGCTCAGTACCTGTGGAGTGTTCTTAAGCTGCTGACTGACCCAATTAGCGTTATTCCTCCATGGCTAATACCTGAGGTTAATGTAGATTTGCAAATTAATACAATGAAAAATGATTGGAATTTAAATGAAATAGGGATAAAAACTGATATTTATTTAAGAACTACATATAATAATTACCTTAAAATTTATACAGATGGTTCTAAGAATTTAAAAGGTTATGTGGGTATAGGAATATATATCCCAGAGTTTAAAAAATGTATTCATAAAAGAATATCAGATCAATTGTCGGTTTTTACAGCAGAAATGGTGGCAGTTATATTAAGCTTGCAATGGGTGGAGGAGATTCGACCAATCAGGGTGGTGGTGTGCACAGATTCTAAAGCAGTAGTGGAAAGTATTAAGGGAGAAGGAAATAATAGAAAAGATTTGGTATTAGAAATTCATCATATTTTATTTAGATTATATAGGGGTGGTATAGATGTTTGGTTTTGTTGGGTGCCAGCACATGAAGGAGTAAAAGGCAATGAAAAGGCAGATAAATTAGCTAAAAGGGCTTTAGAGGGGGAAATAACAATTTCAATTCCTTTTGGAAAAGGAGAAGGGAAATCACTTATTAAAAGTAAAGAAATGGAGGAATGGCAAAAAATATGGAACGAAGATAGGAAAGGAGGAAGATTATATGAAGTGCAAAAGTCAGTTTGAATTCGAAGCATTAATGAAAGAAACAGAAGAGAAGAAATAATAGTTAGTAGATTAAGAATAGGTCATACCTACTTAAATGACATGCTTTATTTAATAGGGAGGAAAAATAGTGATAAATGTGAGAAATGTGGTGGAAAAGAAAATGTAGAACACATACTGATGAACTGTAAGTTATATGAACACAAAAGGAAAGAATTGAAGAGAATAGTTAGAAGTATAGGGCATGAATGGAATCTTAAAGGAATATTAGGAAATGAAGGAAACATAACAGATATTCATAAACTAAGGAAAGCATTGTTTATGTATCTTAAGAATACAAAATTAAATAATAGAATCTAATAGATGTGAAGTAACGCTGCTACACACTCATGTACAGTAGGTGGCGGTATGCACCTTAAAAATGACTGCCACTACCTTGATGCCAGAGTGTTTGCCAATAGAGGGTACTCTAGCCCTGCTTAGTTTAGCAGAGTCTAACCTAAGCCTTTGTTTTGCCAATACAGGGTACTCTAGCCCTGCTTAGTTTAGCAGAGTCTAACCTAAGCCTTTGTTTTGCCAATACAGGGTACTCAAGCCATGCTTACAGTAGTTTAGCAGAGTCTAACCTAAGTCTTTGTTTGCCAGTTTTGGATTGTCTAGCCAAGCTGAGTTTTTCTAAGTCAAACTGAATTTTTTTCAACCTGAGTCTTAACGTTGTTTTTGTCTTTGCCTCTTGGCAGGAAATCATTCTCCAAACTGGATTTGTTCGGTCCTTCTCTCTCTGGAAGGTTCAACTGAGCTTCTAACTGAGCTGGGGTCCCCAAGAGGTCGGTTGAGCTTCACTCCAAGCAAAGGTTTCTTCTGCACTACAGCCCGTTCAAGTACTACAGGAAATCTGAGTTGCAGTAAGCTTCTCCATTCACCAAGAAAGAACTGCAGTCTGAGTAACCCAGTCCACCCATCACCAAGCAAGACAATCTCTGGTACAATCCTCTCAGTCTGGACTCCAGACTGAGAGGATATCTTTCCCTGGACATG